GTGTTTGTGTCGTGCCGCTCTCCTCATCGCCAGTCCGACTCCAGCGACTGAGGATGCTTGGTTTGTGCACCAAACGAGAGAAAGAAACACGATCACTCGGTCTGGGTATACCCCTAGACCCTGCAGGCTGTGGCTCAAGGGCATCTTCATCTATATCCAAGGCCGAATCTCCCGGTCCAAACACTCGTCTTGGGGCCATGGAGCTGGTCTACCCCTGGCGCTGACAAGAGTGTATACAAACGTCAGGTCTAGCAGTTTCGATGACAGGGAGTCGCCAAAAGAGCGGCTGAGTATGTTGTACAATGCGTCGTTCGAGACTTTGAGTCTAGACGAGATCAGAGTATAGGAGAGAATCATAGACCTGTAGCAGACGAAGTAGCCCAAAGAACGCAGCTGTGTCATACTAACGCGACGCGCCCAAAGACTCACGTCACGTGATGCATTACGCGTGAGAGGTTCTTGGTTTGAACTTGAGCTTGTCTAAGACATTGTCTACCCTATATCTATCATTTCATCCACTTGATGAACTTGCCACTAACAGGCATATCATCACGTCTGAAATTGATCCTCCTCATTAGAATCTCTATCCTACGTGAGTGCTCTTCCACGCCGTATGCGTCGATGTTGCTCGAAGGAAACAGGGCGTGAGTGTCCACTGTCTCCCGTCTTCCCGCTGTGCCACATTACAGCTGTTCTCAGAACGACAAACCCTGGTGAAAAATAATCACGGACAGTGGTTTCGGGCGGAGAGGCGGGATGGAGGCGGGTATGCACGTCTGTGCCCGTGTACCTAGCGGTGCTCGCTAACTGCTACCCGCCTCATGTGAAAACATCCTGGATTGGAACGGGTATCTGTGTTTTTTCTCGCCGGTGGTCTATCGGTTTGGAAACAGCTTTGATGATGCCACGCACGAGTCGATAGATCGTGCAACCACATGCTGAACACCCAGCTCATAAGTTACGCCTATGACGCACAACAAAGCTGCCTAGGTGATCAGCCATCAACATTCACCGTGAACCCTCAATATAGCGGATGACTTCACCGTCACAAGCCTTACTTTCCTACTAGGCTCAGTCTCCATGGTCTGCGGTCCGTCCTGTTGCTACGTTTACTATTGTTATATCCTGAAACAAATCACGCTCTGCAGAAGGGTTGTTACGTTCGAGACGGCACTGCGATCTCCCCATCTTGACGACCGCAATTCTGGTGTCTGTGTGCAAATTCGTTTGTGGCCGATATCACGGGGTATTCTCGCAACCCTTCCCGAGGCGTAACCTCGCGAGCGGCCATTGCTGGGCGTAGGATCGGTAAGGTTTCACGCTCTTCACATCTACGATATCTTCGATGATGAGTGGCCACCCCCTTGGACCCGCTTCAGGGGCTTCTGATCGGAGAGAATAACCTTGAGACTTAATTTTCTCTTATGTTCTTCCTGGATCAGAGCAACCCGTGCATCCGACGTGCACGCACGACAACGCTTGACCTCAATGATCTCGGCCCACTAAGCGGCGAAGATGTTCGAAAGTCATCAAATCTATCGTCTCGATTTCTCATGTATGTCATCGTGCGTGTCGGTTTTGGCCCTCTTCTCCTACGCGATAGCAATCTGACGCGACTTCAGATTGTTGGTTCCTAGTCTGCCACGCTCTGGAGTGAAGGGTGGGATAGTCCGCGGCGGTGCCGTTGGTATTGCGATCCGTCGAAATCGCCGTCCATGTGAAGCTCTCAGGGACCGCTCTGCCGTATAAACTGCGCTGCCTCTCGCATGTGATCGGAGCAATTTAGTGGATCTAATACGCAGCGTGATGCGTAAGTACTACGCATATTGTCCATCGTACACCGTCAGACGGTCACAAATGCCCCTGCCAGACGAATTCTCGCTACAGATAAGTCTACTAATAGCTATAGTCTTTCATATGAATCTGCGCTATCACTATCTTTGCTTCGAAAAAATCTCATAAGGCATGCTCGCTCGACTTCACGAGTGCCGAGGCGGGGATAGTCAAACCTGCATGTATAGATCGCTCACAGTAACAGCTACGACCGAGCTTCTTTCATTTGTAAGAGATCTAGCAGGGATCTGTGCTCAGGAGGAGATCACCGATGCCCGAGATCTTCCGTGCATTCTCTAAATTTGGGGTTATACGACCAGGCCAGGGCCATGGATGTTACCGAATATGCAGGAAAGAGGTCAATTACGCTTATTCCACCACATGCGGCCGTGTCTTACGACTCCCTCACAGTTCCCGCACATTTCACAGACGGTAAGCTTGTCTTACGTGCCAAGGGAAACATCCGGGACAGGGCCGCTGACGCTATAGATGGACTTTGAGCGAGGAAATTGGGTCGTAGCCTTCTCAGAGTCCTTCGATCAATGAGGCTTTGCTGGGCCATGTGAGTCACGACCATCTCAGCTCTGCCACCGCTCATGCTCGTGCGGATCTTCAGCTGACAGAGCTTGACATCGACCTGCTGAAACTCCCGTACCTCGGAGTGGCCTGCTTTGCATTTTCCCGCGCGCATCCCTAGCTTATTGTTGTGCACAACACCTCCCGCGCGGTACTCCCTTCGACCCGTCATAGCCGAGCGTTCTGTGAGGCTGGGATCTGAAACGTGGCCCAGGATCTCATGCCGAGCAACGCTCCTCTCGGTCGGTGACCCGCGATTTACCCAGTCGCCTCGAAGTCCCACAGCGGCGCGTCCCTCTTGGCGGCTCTGACTCCCTAGATTCCTGCGTAGATTCTTGCGGAGATGCCGTACGCGTTATTGCGCGCACAGCTTCGGGCACGGCGGCTTCAAAAAGGGCGTCGCACTCGCCATGCAATGTTTCATCTCTGAAGCCCAGGCCTCCCCCACTCAACACATTCACTCTCTCCCACCTCCCGACCAATGGCCGTCATCCCTTGCCCGTCCTGTCCAACGAGGATACTCTTCCCCGACCTCATCGCAGAGTGCCCCTTCCCCCTGCGATTCAACGTCCATTGTGAGGCCGCGTCCTCCGAGTCGAAGGTCTGGCTCATGTCCGGCTGCAAGCTCACCAAGAGGAAGCGCGCCGCCTTCCACGGGCTAAAGGGCGGGCTGCTCACCGCGATGTGCTATCCGTGCGCGGACTACGAACAGTTCCGGGTGTGCTGCGACTGGATCAACTACCTCTTCCACCTCGACAACATCTGCGACGAGATGGACGACCGCACGACAGTTACCACCGCGAGCGAGATCATCGGCGCTCTACGCGACCCGCATGCGTTCCGGCCGTCGTCCGCAGTAGGAAGGCTGACACAGAGGTGAGTATCCTCGTGCCCGGGTCCGGACCATTCAGTCCCTCACCGGCGGTCCCACGTAGCTTTTGGAGCCGATTGTCCGCGCGCGCCTCGCCTGGGGCCCGGCGACGCTTCGTAGAGACCTTTGAGCTGTTTTTCCGCGCGGTCGCGCAGCAGGCGAGGGACCGCGAGTCTGGCAACATCCCGGACCTGGAGTCGTACATTGCCATGCGACGAGACACGAGTGGGTGTAAGCCCTGCTGGGCACTCATCGAATACGCGAACGACGTGAGTATGCGAAGCGTCGCTTCCATCGCAGCCAGTGTGTACGGCTGATTGGCCGGCCCAGCTCGACTTGCCCGACTGGGTGATGCAGCACCCATGTGTGCGAGGACTGGAAGAAGCGGCGAATGATCTCGTCACGGTGCGTTTATCTGGCTGGCAGGTTTCGGAACGTGTGCTGATTGAACCCGGCTCGTACTAGTGGTCGAATGTAGGCCTTTTCTGCGCATTTTCGGGAGCATTCTGATTACTGAAACTCGACCTTGATGCCTTCCTCTCCCATGCAGGACATCTTCTCTTACAACGTGGAGCAAGCAAACGGTACGATGTCCGAGCACCGCTTCCGAGCACGCCCCCCGCTCACGCGCACCGTCCATCCCCACAGGTGATACCCACAACATGATCGTGGTCGTACAGACGCAGGAGCAGCTCGACCTACAGTCCGCCATCGACTACGTGAGTGCGCTCTGCCTCGGGTGCATCACTCGCTTCCAGATATTGCGCGACGCGCTCCCCTCGTGGGGCCACGTAATCGACAACCAGCTCGCGACGTACGTGGATGGCCTCGGCGACTGGATGATCGGCAACCTCGTGTGGTCCTTCGAGACCGAGCGCTACTTCGGCCGCGCGGGTGGACAGGTGCGCGCAGAGCTCGCCGTCCTCCTTCTCCCGCGTCGCAAGTAGCCTCCGATGGTGAAAGTCTACCCGGCGCGTTCGCACTGGTGTCGATAAGACGTGGCATACATCTCCAGGACGCTTTTTGAGAGGACCCACTTGTACAGCAAGATTCCACGTCACGCAAAGGCTGTCGATTCCTCGCACACAGGCGTTGTCCTCGGGCACATTCTCGGCTCACCGTTCTCTTCTTCGGAATGGGACGCCCTTCTTTCTCTGGGAATGCGGGGTCCGCCGATGCGGCAGTTTTTGCGCTCACGCGGACCTTGTTGGATCGGTCTTCGGTGCTTCGATTTTGTGCTTCCAGCTACCCTCCCGCTAGTACGCTTCGGGTGACCATTCCTCCTCCGCGTCGGCTGTCGGGAATCCACAACCCATTCTACCTCTTTCCTTCTTCGGATAGCCGTTCTGTATCCATCCGTCCATACGGTACACATCCTTGGCCCTTGCAGGTTACGAGTCCGTCTCAGCAAAGTTCTCCCACACGCCCTACCCTCGTTTTTTTCGTCGTCACTCCTTGCTCTGACATTTTGCTTCGCATTATTTTCAGTGGCACGTTCCCTCTAGACTACCGGACGTACGTAGGCATACCAGGGGTATCGCCACAGTTTTGCCGTCTGCATGGTTCCGCATTTCCTACGAAATCCCACTCTCCTTGCTCCCCACATTCTTCTCATGTAGCATTTACATAACTACATGACCATCATATCTATCCTTAATGTATAACCTGGAGTCATTTGAGCTCTAGGATAAAAAACGAACGGTGTCCGTGGAGTTAGTCAAGGTGCTACCAGGGTTCGAACCTGGGTTTCGGGAACATCTGCGCAAGTCAAAATCCCGAGTGATAACCACTACACTATAGCACCGATACGCCGCTTGCCAAATTACTTGGTCAACATCATGTGATCACTCAGTACTAGCATCGCACATGATATGCTGCAGTCACGTAAAAGATACTAATAATCCAGCATCAAGGGCAGACGAGCTTGGACGATCCGTCTCCATGGTGGGGTACAAATGCCCATAAGGCAGTGTGCATAGCAACTCCTGGTTTCGATCCAGGGACTTCAGGGTTATGAGCCCTGCACGCTTCCACTGCGTCAAGTTGCTGTATCTTTGTTCTGCTGGTAGACTATCCTATTACTATAGACCCATATATGGTACTACTGCGGCTTCCACGGGAGCTTCGTACTTCTTTCAACACCTGCATCATTCTGTTGTTGTCTTGTTGACACCTCTGGATTTCTCGATGATAGCGCAGGTGATCTTTCATCGTTAAACGTCAATGGAGCATCTAGTAGAACCACGTCGCACTGTGCTTTTGTGAGCCTCTTGATCTATCTTCTAGCTATCAAGATATGCCACTGCCTAGTGCAGATAGAGAAGAGCTTTCCGTTGATTCTTTGCTTGACAAAAGATGGTACCCTGACGTGGATGAGAGATGAGAGATAGCTCGACGCTGTGCACCGATAGATAACTGGTATTGGCCCGTAAGTCTATATAAATACTCTTAGGCACTAACGAAGCATCGCCCTCGCCTTTCTGTCATACTCCCGACCGGTCAGTATCAACCCCCTTCCGCTACATCAGCTCCTGAACCCAAGTTTACTGACGAGAAGTCACTAAATACTATACCAGTAACATTTCGTGTGTCTGCAGTTGCCCCCGGAGTGGTAGACATCCACTCCCGCGGTTGGGGCTATGATCCTGTGCGAATGATCAGGGCGACCTGCAGCACGCAAGTGACACGACAAAAACCTGCCATCATGCAATGTTCGATCGAGGAAGAGGGGTGGCCCCGCGTCTCCGCGAAGAGCAACGGCTTTGTCCATACCGTGCTGCAGGCGTACGCCGATCACCATCATCTCGTCATTCGGTAGGGCCACAGGTTCTTCCGTCATGGTGCCCTGGTTGACAACGATTATACAGCCCCGACGACGTGTGGATAGCAATACTCTCGCAGCTGAGCTTCTAGTACGTTCAGCCAGCCAACGCCAGTCGTGAAGAGGTCGCTGATGTGAGGGCCGTCTTCCCAAGCGTCAATGCCCACGCTGAGGAATTGCGCGAGTATTTCGTCGCTCATGAAGGCAAGCGGACGCTCGTTGCTGAGGGCGTCATGAGAGAGGGCGCCATCGATTTTGCCGCATTCGCCCGGGAGATGGCTGAGGGAATACGCAAGAACGTCAGGACCCGGGGGCTTTGATAGTTACATGATCTGCCAGTGCTGATCTTGTCACGGGTAGGTGGTTGATAACACCCTCGTCGAATGGATCCTGCCGGACTTCACCACGACCACACTGAAGGACATGACCATATGCTCTGTGATCATGATGTCCACCGTGAAAGAGTAGGCCACCTTTGTGCATGTGCCATTTGCGAGCCATCTGATCTTGTTTAGATTCTTCGAATATCGTATGGACGTCACTTGCGGGATTCCTACGGTCACCCTCGAAGGCAGTAAATGCGACTGGGTTCGCCTCGTGCGGAGGCTGGATCGTCTGTACGGGCTCGGGGACGAGCCGTCCGCGTGGGCGAACATGCTACAGCCGATCCTACGCCGGTTTGTGTCCGCATTCGACGGTCAGCCTGATACCGAATTCTGGACGCACGTCGTGCATAGTTCGGGGTGGTGTGTACCGGAGTACCTCGGTGGCTGGCTCACCGCCTTCTGCGTATGGTCCGACAAGGGACGCTGGAAAGGAGGGGCGCTCCCGCCTTTACTCGCGATCCCTAGACTACCTCCGATACCTGAGGAGGCAGACACGGCGTTTCGCGGCGCGACGAGTGGATTGAGGGAAGCAATGACAATGGCTGCAGCACTGGCGGACTCCGTAGGGCTCGGATCCGATAAGCAGGACGAAATCAGCTTCCATGAGTGTCGACGTCGCTTACTGCACCCAACCGTACCTGAACAGTTAAGATCTTTACTACGAAGAAGGCACTGAAAGGGGCGCGTACATCCTCGACGGTGTCCGTATGTTGACATTAGGTTCGAAAGCATCCCCCAACGGATGCTGCGAAGTCGACGTGACGGTCAAGGATGATGGCCGGGAGATTCCATACGGAATGGTCGCGGGGCATGTCGCGACTGTCGTGACGGCGAAGGACCCCGGAGGACCACTGGACACGCTCGCGCCTGCTCCTCAATGGTTCGTGTATAAGAAGGTTTCGAACCCGCCCCCTGCCGCAGCTCTCCCGTGTATTTGTCTTCAGAGGCCCTGCTTGTGTTCATCAATGACGAACTTCTTCGCTTTTTAGGGGTGACCGCAAGTTTGTGCACGAAGCAATCTGTCTACCAACTCCCCGCATACATGTATTGCTTCGTGACTATCTATTCACTGGTATGGCTACACGCTGACTGACTATCTATGTGTTGTGGGGCGTTGAAGCTTGATGTGTCGTTTATTTTATGATAAACCGATGCAAATGACTGGCATGGACTTTCATGATGTCTCTCTGTACAGATTGGGTACGCCTATCTTACACTACACCCCAACAGCGCGAGAAGATGCGGCGCTCAGTCCCTACGGTAGCCATCCTTGTAGTCTGAGTTCTGGACATGTGTGAATAAGGTGGGCGATTGTTAGCGTAGCTTCAACCGTGTACTGACCTTCGTGTACATCCCACCACGGTCGTTCAGGCGCCTCTGAGTAGCCGGCTGGCTGATATGGCCGGCTGCGTCCTGGCTGTGATCCCGGTCATTTCCCTACAAAGATCAGCTCCGTTCTGCATCAACTCCACATCCCGACTCACGTGCAGCGAAGTCATTACTGCCGACACCACGTTCCTCACGGGGTGGGCCACCTCCGCCGGGACCTGCTGGGCGGTCGTAGCCTCGGACGCAGCCGCCGCGCCGTCACTGCCTGCACCTGCGCCGCTCACGAGCGCAGCGTTGGCGGACTTCTGCGCACTCGAGCTGGGCACGGTTCCCATCGCACCCGGCGCGCTCATGCGTTCGTTGAACTCCGGAACCTGTTGTGCATGGCGGAACTGCCCTGCTCGAACGGATTTAGGGTCGCTCAGGTGGGGGAGGAAAGCTAATTTGAGACGCACAGGTGGGCATCTCTGCGGCGTTTTGAGAGCCGTGGCTACGGTTCTGTTTCACGAACTGCAGACGCCAAAAGCCGTAGAGGCCTAGTGCGACGCCGGCCATGCCCAGGATCATAGTCTGGGGGGAATCGTGAGTTAGGAGGCTTGTACGAATGTGATTTGTTAATGATTGAATTACCCTGGGGTTACCACCTTGACCCGCGGTGGGCAGGGGGGCAATAGGCCTTCCGGGTTGTGCACTCATGGTGGTAGGAGGAAATCAAGGTGTTTGTATGCGGTATGTGGACGCGAGGAGGTGGGAGCACGAAGATATGTGTATTGACATTGAATAGGAGGGCGGCAGAGGGTTTATGTGCTTCGCATGCGGATGTCAGCAGAGCAGGAGCGGCGGAACTTGGCAGACATCGATCGCAGAGGTCAACCACCCCTAGGACCATTTCTGGCAAGCGGTTAGCCATTCCTGGACGTTGGCGTCGCGAATGACGTCAATCTATACCAGCCTCCAAGCAGACGATCGAGTGCGTTAGCGGGACTAGTGATGTCATTTTTGAAGGTTACTATATGGCTTTGATAGCATAGCATATGGTACCAACTCATCTATTTGATAAAGTTCTAAGCCTCACGCAGCCATAATGTTTCCTGTGGCTGCCGCGAACTGCTTTCCACTTCTCATAATATCTCCACTTCTCAATAACGTCGCGGGTGTTATTTCTTCTCTTCTGCGAACCGTAGTGTGATGTGTCAAAATCATCCAGGGGGGATTCGAGCCATAATCTGAGTATTTCCCTCCTGTTTGTCGCGAAACATGCCAAACCACATACATATCGTCTCATATTGTATATCCACCCGAAGGCAGCATTCAACTGCAAAATTCAAATACGCCTCCGGCGGCAGATATGGTATCACTGTCAACCAATTTCCTCGATTCGGGGGACTGAGGATCGCGGCGGTTGTCTCGCACACATTGCAATTTTATTCACACGAGTGAATATTGCGATTCGACTCATAGAAGCTTTAGATTTATGTGCTTGGGTAGCGTGCATGGGTGGCGTGTGTCAGCAACTCCCCACGGAACGGCTGTGAGGGCAGCCACATATATTGCAGCCCGTTCCCGGCATTGCACGAAGAAGCTGCATGGCGCCTTTCTGTCATGGCAAATTCGACTTTCTGTTGCTGAAGAAGGGTCGCTTGCTTCACATGCGCCAACACCGTCTTCACGGTGGGCATATAAAACCATGTTCCGGCCACATAATCGGTACATATGCAGACAATATATATCAAATTTGATACCGGGACAGATTTTCATATGCCCCCGTGCTTCATACTACCTGCGCCGAGAAGTTGAGACGCGAGCACGTGATCGCGTTATACGACGCGTACGTCGTTAGCGGTTCCCAGTTACTGTCGACCCGTATACAGTTAATATAACGAGCTTCGCTAGTAGATTAATCTTAAGGATAAATTTGGGGATTAAACGGGTTTACCGAGGTATTAATTCGGTCGGTCGGTCGTCGTTGGACATTGTGTATATGAGAGACAAATAGTTGATCGTATGAGAGTCGGCGAGATCATAAAGCAGAGCTTTATCGCAATTATTTTCTGGATCATCTAGAGGGGTGCATTGTGGCATGACAGCAAGAAGGTCAGCTCTATACAGAGAGCGGGCGCTGACTTCATCGTGTATTATCAATATTTTACATTTACTTCGGCATGTAGTACTTGCTCAATCCGCATAAAAACACAGTTTTATTTCAAACAAAGACTTAGATGAGGGCATACACATACATGTGTTCAGAGTCCGGAGAGAGCGTTTGAA